TCCTCTCACTCCCCCACTCTCACAAAAAGAATATAAAACTGGAGAGGCAGTTAGGCCAATGCTCTTATCACCCAGGAGGAGCAACTGAAATCCAAGTCAGCATTCACTGTTTCCTGTAAGTCAATAAATCCATCTGACTGTTCCAGAGACCAGCACCTGCAGCCTGTGACCTGAGGAGAAACTGCAGGTGGTGGGCTCACTCCAGGCAGAGAACCACAGTCAGTTCACAGGGTGGATCTGTGGAAGGCAGCCTGGCTGAGCTATCGGGGAGGGCTGAGGTCAATGCCCCACTTGGTCCACTTGTCAGGGCCTGAGGGAGAAGCTGCCTCAGCATTCTCCAGAAGTTTCTATAATAATGTGAAAGTTTTCTCTCTGCTTCTCCAGGATAGTAGGTGCCAGCCACGGAGATGAATGTGGCTACTGAGACTTTGAAATGGTACTACCCTGACCCAGAAACTGAACTTTCAATTTTCTTTAGGTTTTAATTCATTTCAACCTAAATGCAAATAGCCACATATGGCAAGTGAGGTCCAGCAGTGGCCCTGGCTAGAGACTGGGCACAAAGCTTTGCACCTCAGCATGGTTGATCACAGCCCATGTGCTGAAGGAAATGTTTAACCTCCCTACAGAACAGCCCTACTCATGGACCTGTGGTAAAAATCAAGTGTTTATCCCCATTCCCTCTGGACTAAAATCCTAATTGTCATGTAAAGTATATGACTACCCAGTTAAAAAAAAAAAAAAAAGCACCCTTTCCCCCCCCCCACACACACACACAGTTTCTCAACCTCCCTTGCAGCTTGCCATAGTCACAACTGCCACAGGACCCCAGTCTTTTCTTTTTCTTTGTTCTTCTACCCTGATGTCTGGAAGGCAAGTGTGATGGTTGGAGCACTGGCCACCATTTTAGACTGTGAGGGCAAGGGCCATACCCTTGTAAACTGGCAGGTACCTGTGTCCCTGAGTATTCTCTGGAACAGGTTTTGTTATTATATGGATTCAGGATTTTACATGAGAAATAAATTACCTTCTAGCTTGTTTAGCTATGATTATTTTGGGTCTCTGTTAATGAATCTTGATTGTGATAAAGTGTCTATTAGCACAGGTTGAGCTGTATACTTGAAGTATCTCTTAAAATCTTACACTAAAGAAAAAATATACCCTGGTGAAAGAAGTTAGACACAGATGAGTTTCCACTATGAAAAGTCTACAAATGCAAAGGATAGTGTACAAAACCAGATCAGTGATAACATAGCTTGGTGGGGGATGGAGGTCTAACTGCAAAGGGATATATGGAATTGTTCTGGCATACGGAAATGTTCTGTATTGTGATGGCAGTTTTCAGGGTATATGTACACACATGTTAAAACCCATGCAGGGGTCTTCCCTGGTGGCACAATGGATTAAAGAGCAAGCAGCACTATGAAGCTAGCATCTGTAGCTATTCATCTTAAATTCAATCCCAGGTCAGGGGAGGTGGCCCACATGGCTCAGCAGACCTCTCCTGTCATGCCCGCTGCTCCCCTCAGCAGTGTACTTTGTGAATCTGCCTGTTCTGCTCCCCACTCTGGCTCTGGTGAGTCCTCTTACCACCCCTGCACCTCACCTGTACTCCATAAATAAAAGAAATCTTAAAAAAAAAAACAACAACCTATGGATGCAGCTTAAAGTAGTGAGTTATGTGTAAGTGAAGTAGGAATTTAAAAAGGAATATTCCAGGCTCTCCCTGGTAGCGCAGTGGGTTAAAACACAGCATTATGAAGCTCTCCGAAGCCACTGCAGCATGAGTTCAATTACTAGCCAGGGAGCTGACCCACATGGCATGGCAGACCTCTCCTGATCCACTCGCTGCTCCCCTCAGCAGTGTATTTCAGGAGATCTGCCTGTTCTGCTCCTCACTCTTTCTCTGGTAAATCCTCTCACCCACCACACCTCTGGTTTGTATCCCAGTTCTGTATGCATAAATAAATCTTTTTAAAAAAAGGAATATTCCTTTACTGATCAAGAGATTAGTGTACCTGAGAGGTGAACAATATTCTGAAAACCATAAAATACACTGACACAAAGCAGTTTTTGCATTATTTGTTTGAATTTTCATTTTTATCCTTGTAGGAAGCTGTTTTTCTTCACTTGTAAGTCAAAAGTCCTTGTATTTTTCCTTGTATTTTTGAGCACAAAAAAATATGGTAAACTTTTTTTTTATTTGCTGGTGTGATGATTACTAAAGATGGCTTAGTGAAAAAATAAGTAGATCAAACCATTCAAACAGTAAAATCCAGTTCTTGTTTTAAAAAGGAGACACACACACATACACTTGCTAAAAAGATTAGCAGGTGTGTAACAAACAGGAATTCATTCTCTTCACATCTCTCTGTTAAGTGACAATGAATGTGTACTAGTTTTATGACTAGGAAAAAGTAACAAATCTATTAATGATTAATTATCGGTCTACTTGCCTTTGCTGTGGCAGGCTCTAGACACACAAACCAGAAAAGTCAGGTTTGGACATGGTGACCAAAGAACACTGCACTGAGTTCTTCAAACTCTTGTTCATACCGGACTGTGCCTGAATTTGTTGTACTGTGTCACTGAGTCATTGGGTCTCCTTATCTGTACCATGAATGGTTTAGGCTAAAGGTACCTGGTTTCTCAGTCCTCAAAAATCACAGCTCTGATGCTGACAGAAATAACAGTAACTGATTCTGTTTCAAACAACAACTGGTGGGGTGGAAGGGAGGATGATAAATGGTCCTTGATCCCCACCGGTCTCCAGCCCTCATCAGTCCCTGTGGGTGGTGGTCAAGGGCACAAATCCACTTACAGGCTTCCTGCCAATGAAAATGCAAAGCCACTCTAGCTTTGGAACAGACACAGACCAACCATGAACACGATCCAGAGCCTTCAATCTAGACTGTTGCTTCTCTCCCAGCACCCTTTGTCCTGGGCAGGTTCTCACTGCTTCTTCATCAACAACCACAAAATATCCATTCACTTAAAAATAGCTTTGGAGAGGCCCGAGCCAGGCTAAGCAATTAGGTATTCATGGTAGCCCTGCTGTCCAGTGGTCATTAGTTTAATGAGGACTATTAAAAACACATAAAAATCCCAACCAACACAAATAAACAAAGCAGCCAAAGCTGGTGTCTTCAACGGCTAATAGGACTGCCTGTAATACACAGAATGGTCCCCACAAGTTTCCAGAAATCTGGCTGTATGCCGCCTTCCAGGCTAAGCCTTTAATTGGCTTTAATTTTTAAAATTTTCATCTACAGAGACATAGGACTGTTAGGGGGAAAGGATGTCCTGAACGAACTCTGCAGATATAGGTTTTGTGGGCTCCACCCCCTACTCTAGACATTAAAACTACACCACCCCCTCCTCCAGTCACTGAAACTGTAACTCCCAGAAACCCCAAAGGGAGGACTGTGAGGATTCAAAATGGCTAACTTTTGGGGGTATATAGGAGGGGGCCATGTTGAGCTGAGGCTCTCCCCCTTGGCCTCCTGCTGGTGGCTGGTCATTTGGCTCTTGACGAGCTTTCAGCGTGCTATTGGGGTTCCAAGTCAGCGGAACTGGTAGAATGCTCTAGTTAACTTGTATCTCTCTCTCTTTCTTTCCCTGGGTTGTTCCTTTTCTTTCCCCTTCGTAAACAAACCCATTATTGATCCTTTTTTGCATGCCTGCAGTACAAGTGAATCTTAAGCACGTGGGTGAGGACCCACGGGTGAGGACCCAAAGACAGGCAACCCAGTTCACAATGGGTTGCCCTGTAACAATTTTTAAAATTTTCATTTACAGAGACATATGACCACATAGACACACAGGAAGTTCTAGAAAGTGCTTTTAAATTCTGACCCAAAAAAATGATGTATAATTTAGAGGCAGTGTGGCAAGTATCTTCGCATTTCTTGCCTGACCAGCTCTGTAGGGGGAGCCTGGTTGTCTCTTTTCCTTCCCTAGGGACTCAAATTCTTGAAAAGCAACTGTTGCTACAAAAGAAATGACTTGGGAGGGTTGAGGGGACATTCACACAGAGAGCTCTTTTTTATTTTCACTTTTTTGAGAACGCCACTAAGCAGCTCTGGCTCTAAAAGGTGATGGATGAGAAGACCTAGTCCCACTCCCAGCTAGCTCTCGTCCAGCAAGTTGGGTTGAAGAGGGACTTTGACCCAGGCTTTACAAAGATAAAAGGGACCCTCCCTGGGGAGCAAGCAGCAGACCTCTCCTGTCTTGCCCACTGCTCCCCTCAGCTGTGTATTTCTGTCGATCTGCCTGTTCTGCCCCAATTCTGTCTCTGGTGAATCTTCTCACCACCTCTGGCCTGTACCCCAGTTCTGTATGCCTAAATAAAAATAAACTTCAATAAAAAAAAATTCTTAAAAAAAAAAAAAAGATAAAAGGCAAACAAGTCAGGCACCCAATTGCCTCCAAGCCACTGGCCGACAGAAGCTGCTGTTTTAACCTATCTTTTCCTTTATGGACAAAGATAAAACCATTCTTAGAAGAACCTGTCAGTAGCAGGTCAATTTTCCTTTATAAAAGAACCACCAGCCAAAGCAGTCAAACAAGAGAGAAGTATAATTTAGAGGAACAAATTCCTCTCCTGCTGAAGATAATGCAGGAGACTTCTAATAACCAAAATGAATAAGATAATATGTAGCAGAAGAATGGACAGGACACATTGCTCCTGGTTAAAGGCTACAACCCAGTTACTAGCCACATTTTCCATATGTGAAAGCTGACCATTTCCCAAGGAACAGCACACCACAATTCTCCCAGATTTACAAATAAGAGCAAAATCCAAATGAGAGAGGAACTCAAGCCACCCAGGAAAGGAAGGCAAGACAGGAAGTGATAAACAAGGCTCTCAATTCACTATTCTTCCATGAAGTCAGTGTGAGGGACACAGAGCCATTCTTCAGGATTAGAGTCAACCCGTTCAGGGTGGCCTCACGTGGGTAACCCCCCTCCTTGAGCAGAAATAACAAGGCTGGCTTTACCTTAAGAGCACCACAAAGTTCAACAGTGTCTGCATCATCAACCACAGTAATTCGAAAATTTGGAGTCTGCAGAAGTTCTTTGAAGAGAAGGCCATTCTCCATTACTTTGCTGCCTAGTGAAAGGTTAGAACAAAGCAAATTAATAGCAGTTTCCAATCTTAATTTTTATTTCTAACAACAGCTTGGAATAACTTTTTATTACATAAGTAACATGTGCATTATAGAAAACTTAGAAAATCTACAGGAGTGGAAATACAGAGGGGTTCAGGGGTTCCATAATTCTACCGAAGACGATCACTAACAGTTTGGCATCCATGTTTGACTTACATATATATGGTTTCATAGCCTGCTTCCCCCATTTTATGGTATGAATAGTTTTCAATGACATATTTTCCATATCACTTTAAATAGCTACTGAGTATCTTACTGTACATGGTGTTTTATATTTTATTTGAATATTTATTGTTTGATATCCAAAATTACTACAAGTTTTTGCCACCATAACCACTTAAAGGACAACTCCTCTGTTTATATTTGTAATCAATTATTTTTTTCAAAGATTTCTTTATTTTTGCGTATAAGAACCAGGGTTCAGGCCAGAGTTGTGGGGGGTGAGAGGATTCTCAGAGACAGATGGGTAACAGAATAGATTTACAGGTAGATATACGGAAATACACTGCTAAGGGGAGCAGCGGGCAGGTCAGGAGAGGTCTGCCACACCATGTGGGTCACCTCCCTGGCCGGATCAAACTTGTGCTGCAGTGGCTTCAGAGAGCTGCATTTTAACCCATTGTGCTGCATTTTAACCCATTGTGCCACCAGAGAGGGTCCTGTAATCAGTTGTTCAAAACCAACCGTCACTTTCCATGAGAGACATCACTCCTTTCCACACTGCCAAGCTTGATTACACGATGTCTTGAACTTACAGAGGTTGGGGAATATCCTCACCCTCACCCGGTCCCATAACTTGCTTTGGCCAATGGGATATTACAGATGACGCCAATGAAGCTTGCAGACCACTCTCTGCAGCAATAGCAGGCTGGCTCCTGGTACCTCTGTCCTCACTGAGGAAAACCTGCCCATGCCAGTCCGAGGGGTCCCGCAGGAAGAGGAGAGATGAGGGGAATGGGCAGTCCCGCCAGCTACCTGGCCAGTATCAGCTGTCCCCCAGTGGCCCCTCAGATGTGTAGCTGTGCCTGTCTTGTATGCCACCCAGATGCCGGGCATTACCACGGCAATGGAGAACTAATACAACATCAACAAATATTTTCACTGATTCAGTTGTGGAGGGTGGAAATTCATTCCGGAACACTTGCTTTTGCTACTTAATGCTTTGTCCCCTCCTTGGGATCGTTCCTAGAATGGCAGGTGTGATAGTGTTTTTACACATTTGAGAGTTCTGGGTTTTTTGGGTTTTTTTTTGAGATCTTTGATTAAAAAACAAAAGTAAAAACAAAACTTCACATGTAAAGCAGGATGTGAGATCTATCTTGGTCAGTGGGGTGCTGGTGGGGCTCAGCTCTCGAGGGCTCTGGAAATCAGGATGACAAAACTGTTAGGCAAAGTTGTGTCTCTCAAAAACGTAGGTCTCCATGCAGACCAGAAAGCTCATTCAGAATTACAGCACTTGAGTTTTACTTGTGCCTGAGTTTCCAGGCTGGGGTCACCTGGGGATCTTTAAAAGCATCATATTCCAGGCCACTTCCCAGACCAATTAAATCACCTGTAGGGTGGTAACCTCAATCATTTTTGAAGCTTCTTAGGCAAATTCCAAAGGACAGAACAGTTTGCAAACTTCTGATATAAGCTCCTCTTCATCTTAGTTTCCTCATGACTGAAAGACTGCTCAGGATGGGTGAGGTTAAATTAGAGTCATGTGTGAAAATAACCTGTTTGGTCACACGGCATGGGTAAAGGGGCTGTGTAATAATGAGGGCAATACTCAGCACTTACAGGCTTATGACTGTGATTTTCCACATTGACAGGGGGCCCAGAGAGGTTTACCAACTTGCCTATGGTCACACAGCTAGGAGTGGAACCCAAATTCCTAGCCAGATTCTCTGGCTCCAGAACCCAAGCTCTGACCCCCTGTGCTATGCTGCCTCTCGGGGCTGGGAAAAGACATGGTCAATGGGCAAAAAACAAACATCACCAACTAGAGCTACCCTCTTCCAATGCAATAAAAAAAGATGATTGCCCACAGTTAAAATTATACCTAGAGGTCAAATAATGTTGAAATAATCTAGGGGAGAATAAGGAGAGGTAGAGATACAGCAGCTAAGTAAGACTAGCCAGGATTTAATAGTAAAGCTGGATGGATGGTGGCAGGTATACAGGGTTCACACTTGGTCCCACCTACTTCTGTTGTTTTAAGAAAATTTCCAAATAGGGTGTTTAAAATCTCTCCACCCAAAACTTAGCAACGCATTGTAGGGTAAATGGAAGTGATTAGGTTTTACCGGCCTCCTGCCACTACCATCAATGATAGACACTGTGGCCTTACATGTGCGCCAGACAGTGGCCCTGGAGAGGGGGTGGGCATGCTTAGTGGGCACACCGGAGCCTGGAGGCGGAGCTATAAGAGCAGGAGCAGAGGCCAGAGGAGGCAAAGCACCACGCCGCAGAGAGCAGTGACCAGCAGAAGACCACGAGGGAAGGCCAGAAAGCCCCGAAAGAGTGAAGATCCGCCTGGGGCTGGGAGGTCGGCCAGCCTCCTGCCGACCCCCACCTGCCCTGTCCCGGTGTCCCGGTTGCTGTGGAAAGAGCATTAAAAGCCAGGCCTCCTCCTTTACCCGTCTGTCTCCATCACAGAACCTGCACTGTGCCTTGCTGGCTCTACACCCATTTTCTTTCTATCCTACAAGCAATCAATAGTATTATCTGTCATTTAACTGAATTCTTTTTCCAAATACTAGAACTGTGTCCTATTAAGCAAACTGTTGTCTTCCTTTTTAAGCAATCACCAGACCATCTGTCTGTTTCTGTTCAATGCCATTGCATCATCTGGGTTGGGTAGACTAGTCCCGGCCCATCATGCCATCATTACTGTGCTTCTCCTCTGCCCTCACCAGCGACACGGCTCTGCACCTCCAGAGGAGAGAGGCTCATGGGCCCCACAAGAAAGTCCCTAACTCAAGTTCCTTTAATCTGGCCACCAGAGGCAGAAACTTCACTGCTGCAATAGACAACCAATAGGCAGGGAACTGGACATTAATCATTTACCACTGACTTGGGGGAGGGGTATGGTGTGAGGGGTGTGGTGGTGGAGGGTCTGCTGCTTTCTCTGTGACTGCAAAGCCCACCCAGTGTCCACTAGAGAGATGTACTTGGCTTACAGGAATCACATTTTCTCAAAGGTACCTTTGAAAGCTATTACTTTAAAACATGGGTAAGGAAGCACTAATACTATCGTTAGCAGTTTAAGCAGTGACCAGGCAAGTGGGGACCCAGGGACCTGGTACAGAATAGGTAATGCCCAACAATCAGGTGGAATGGCTACCCCAAACTCCATATGTGGGCAAAGAAAGGAAAGTCCCTTCTCTTTAAAACCAAGTTTCAGAGAAAACCTATTTAATAAGATTCCTTTATAACTCTCATTTCAGTCTGTGATTGCACATGTGTTTGTGTGCTTATAAGTTCTACAAGGAGTTTATCCTTGACATTTAGTGCCAAGCCTGATACATAATAGGCTTTGAAAAATATCTGTGGGATGACAAATCTCATTCTGTGAAGTCGGTGCCCAGAAAGAAGGTAGCTCTCGCCACAAAGGGGCACCACAGTTCACTCTGCAGGCTACAGAAAACAAGGCCATTTTTACCTTCTTCCTCCACTTAAGAACCAAATAGGTTAAGATTCTTTGTTGTTGTTGTTGGCGGTTTGGCCTAGTGTAGGGATTTGACCTATTTATTTATTGTTATCATTAAATTTTTACAACATTCTTCATTTTCATACAATCTATATGCTTTCTCATCTTGGTTGCAAACCCACCCCCCGCCCGTGGACTTCCCACTATCAGTTCACCCAGGTACTATCACCATAGACCTGTATACTCTTCCCAGCCATGTTTTGATCCTATTCCCCTCTCCCTTCTGAGGTTAAGATTCTTGAATCTAACATAATTAAAATTCAGCTGATTGGTAGTGTCATCAAGAAAGGTAATCTGGATAACCACAGTGCAGTTATCAAATACAGGACATTTAATGCTGATAGAATTATCTAACAAATGATCCATATTGAGACCTCATCAATCACCCCAGTCTCATCTTTCATGACACCCTTCACCCTCACCCCCACTCCCCCACCTCACCCCCAGGATCCAGTTCAGGATCCTGACCTGCATTTAGCAGTCATTCCCTCCAGTCTCTTTCATCAGGGACACTCCCTTAGCCATTCATGATATTGACATATTTGAAAAGTGCCGGGCAGGTTGTTTTGCAATATGTCCTTTACTTTGGGCTTGTCTGGTATTTCCTCATGGTTCAATTCAGGTGAAATAGCAATAGAAAAGATCACCTGTGTGTTCTTACTTCTGGTGTTTTGTTTAATCCAGGTTATCCTTGCCAACCACAGCCCAGAGAGAAAGCAATGGTTCAACAGAAGCCCGGGGGGGGGGGGGGCAGAAGAGGCTTCTTTGAGTTGTCTTTTTCCAAAACAAAAAGCCTTATAATGCACCTGACCAGAAACTTTCCTAGGGCAAACAGGGCTAGAGGCAGGTAAAAAACCCTCCTTGAAGTCTGGAGGTACGCGCCAGGTTTAATTCAAGACTGGAGACAAAACCCAACCACACAGGATGCTTGTGGTAACTAACAACCGGCTGACAGAACTGATTGCCAACTCATTGTTGGCAAACAGGATTAAGCTGGAACAACCAGCTAATCTTTTTTTTGAAAAGTAAAATTACATAACTTCATAGGCTGCATTAAAATCACAGATGGCTAAAATACTCAAGTGTGAAAAATAAAAACTGTGATATGGACTAGTATATACAAGTAAATAAATTTTTTTTCTAGGAGGATATTTAGAAACTGCTAACAGTGATTCCCCTTGGGAAGAGGAAATAGGTGGGAAATGCCAATCTTAAGTCTCATTTTAGAATTTTCATACTGTTTACATTTTCTTACCTGTGCCTATATCATTTCTGTAAATGTCAACCTGGACAACAGTATTATAGGCATTTTGCTTTCTTTATATTATTTGTGATACCGCTTCATAAACATTATTTCTCAAAAAGAGTGTTAAGCACCCAGATATATGGGACTGTTGATGTGCTATGAGACTATGAAGACTACTAGTTGTTTGCTATAAGTTCAATAAAATGATTACAAAGCAGTGTATACCTTAACAACATAGTTTACACATATAGAAAAAGGAAATGAATAAAAAGGTTTTCTTTTGATGCTCTCAATTTTCAACAATAATGAGGCAATAACTATGCAATTAAAAGTCATGGAGAAAAAAAGAAAGATGTCTTAACCTGCAGGCATGTATAAGCTATCTCCTGTTAAGAGGGCCCAACTTCTTTTAAAGCTTCCTTTTGCAAAGCTGTCTAGGAGAAAGGATTCCCAGTGCTCTAGTGTTTGTCAAGGGGAGAAGTATTACTTTGGAAATACATGAAGTTTGGAAAATATACTTAAAACTGTTCCAGGCACCTGCAAATACAATATTCTTCTTCTATGGCAACTTTTAGTATGGTATACTGAACTTTAAGTATGGTACACTGGCACTTGAGAATTCTCAAATCCTTTGAAAAGAAGCAAAAGTGTTTACAACTCTGATGTTGTATAAGAGCAGAAAGGACTGTCTACTTCAGGAAATGGAACCCATGTTCATGCCTGGATTTTCTGTGTGACCTTGGGGCAGGTAACAGTCTAGGCTTCTTCACTTGATTACGGGGATCAGGTGATCCTGCTCTCACTGGATAAGCAGGTTATGGGATTCTCCTGGGCTCCTGTGAAGATTCAGATACTGACACTTGTGAGCCTAAAACAGGAGAGCCCCACCGAGGATGCACACCCTCCTTGGTACAAGCAGTCTTGCTTGTGGGCGTTAAATCCTGCTGACTGAGTCACCAGCAGGCCACTAGATTAGTGGTCGGTCAATGGCCTCCTTGGCTTACTTTCATTCTGGAGGTTGTTGAAAAAGTTGAGTTTTGCAGAATGGCCTCTTCACATAAAATTCCCACCCCACTCACTGTCCACGCAGGAATGTTGGGGTGGGGGAAGCAGGGAAGAATCCATGAGGAAATGCTGGAATTGGAAAAATGTACACATTGGCAGAAAAATGTACAGGTCGGCACATCCACTGTCCCAGCACCCAGCCTTGCCAGCGCTCACCAATGGTGGTCTCACAGAACTTTTCCGCAGCCACCTCACTGGCTATGTTGGCTCCCATCAGCACACTGATGTCAATGCCCATCTTCTCCCGGATGATGTCAGAAATGAGTTTCAGCCCCTCGGGGCCCTCGTCTATGCCCTATAAGGATGTCAAGAAGTTAGGGGAACACATACCATCAAATTAAAGAGGCATGAGATGGTTCTTTGTAAGTACTCTACATTCAGACATCACATGGCACATACAAATTGAAAATTTCTCTCACCAGAGTAAATATAGACGGCACGTACTGTTTAAAGAAAACCTAAAATGAAATAGTAATATGAACAAGCGCCCACCATCAAGATGTAAGCGCTGGGTTAAGAAAGAGAACAAGACCGGTACCACTGACGTGCCCTGTGTGTCTCTCCCCAAGTTCACCCCCTTCTACCCTCCTACACCTCCCAACTAGGGTAAGCTACTGTTCTGAATGTGGTAGATCTTGCTTTACTTGATCATTTTGCTGGGTGTAACAATACAAGTCATTATTTCTGTTTTGAAATGTATAAATGGAATTATATCGTTCATGTATGATGTGCTGTTTTTTGCAACATTGTTCATTTAGAGATTCACCCTTTTAGCCACTATATGAATGTTCTGGGTGGTTCCTGTTCACTACTGTGTAGATTCCCATAGCTCACGTTTGATTATGAGTGCTGTTGCTGATTTATATTTGGGTTGTTCCAGTTTGCTTTTATAAACATTCATCTATGAATGCTCTGAAAAAGGACCTCTTGCAAGGGTCCTTAATTTTTTTATGATATCCCTGGCAGTCTGGTGATGTTTACGGTACCATTCTCAGAATTTCATATGCAAAAATCAAAATATGTAAGATTACCCAGGAAAACAGCTATATTGAAATATAATTATAAAAATTTTTAAAAGGCCGTGGTAGAGTAATAGATGCTGTTTTATTAAGCAACTGGAAAGATATCTCATAATTATCATAATTTCAAGGTCATGATAAGGATTTGAATGTACTGTAAAGTGACCTGAAAATATCTGTGGTTGCTAGTAATAAAAAGGTCACAGATCTTGCTAATACGACTATTACTGAACCTCCAGAGGGCTTGTGGCCTGCATTTACACATGCGGAATGAAGGAAATGTTCATTTCACTTAGAGGTTAAAGTGAGTGAAAATGAAGTCCTTCCCCTATCCACCCTGTGCCTTCCCCACATCTCCATGCACACTCCAGAGTTCTGTCTGTGGGCCTCTGGAGGTGGTTCACAGACCTGGTTCAAAAGGCCCTCTTTAGGGTTTACCAAGGATTGGGAAGGACTGACAATGAATTACCTAGTGAATGCCAACTGCTGGTGCTCTCAAGACCACAGGCTAAGAACCAGGCACTGGGCGGACGGTTCTTCCTGCCAGCAAGACCCACCAGAAAGAGCCCATGCCCCTATCAGCACCACTCCCTCCAGCCCTCCCAAATCTGAGATAAGCAGGCCTGCTGGATTTTGATTACTCTCCAGGCACCTTTAGAAAAACAAAACAGGTGCCACAACCCCCCTTCAGTTCCATATTTCCAACAGATGAAAGTGAGAGGAAACAGACTTTTCCCCAGTAACCAACAGCTGGTGCTGTTCTCCTGGCAGGGAGGGCCCGCAGGTTACCTTAATGAGGGTGATCCCCAGCGCCTTCTTGGGCACTCTGCCGGTGATCTCGTCGCAGATTCTGTGAATGAACTGGTGGGGGATGACAAACACCAGCAGGTCTGCATCCTGCACAGCCTCACTGAGGTTTGGGACGGCGACCTGCAAAAGTGAGAGGTGGAAACTTACTCCTGTACCAAAATATGCCAGTGCCTCACACACTGACCACTGCCCAGACGCTCCTGATGCAGGCCAGTGTGGCGTGTGCCTTCCCTTCCCCATTCGGGACATGTGGCACAAGCCCACAGGTGTTGCCTCTGCCATTGACCAGCTGGGCAAAAGACTTACCCTCTCTATGCCTCAATTTCTTTATCTAAAAGGGAACCTCAACTCCCACTCCATTTTCTTCCCTTCTTCACCCAATTTGTTCCCCAGGGGGGCTGCTTTCCATCGACTCCTTCCAGCCACCCTTGCTCTCTGCCCTCCATCCGGGTGGCTTCAGTCACTGGGGGGCATTGCCAGGAGATTCAAGGGTGGGAGGAGAGACTTGACTTCATTTTACAGACTCATAAAAATTGAAAATGTTCATACATTAGGTGGTAGGCAGGGTGAGAAAATGTCTTCCTGGAATTTATACAAGGTTTTAAATTTAAGTTACCTCAATAAAAAAAAGTTTATATAGAACATTTTACGCAAATATTCATAGCAGTATTGTTAGTAATAGCCGCAAAGTGGAAACAACTGAGGCTTCCGGCACGTCAACCGATGGGTGGCTAACCAAAATACAGTAGAGCCATACAATAGAAGATTATTCAGCCATAAGAAGAAATGAAGTTCTGATTATGTGACACCATGGATGAATTTTGAGACTGTGTTAAATCAAAGAAGCCAACCCCCGCCCTCCCTGGTGGCGCAGTGGGTTAAAGCACTGCACTAAGAAGCTTAAGCCAATTCCTCATGAGTTCGATCCCCGCTTGCCCTGGAGGAGATCCACATGGTGTGGCAGACCTCTCCTGACCTGCCCGCTGCTCCCCTCAGCAGTGTACTTCGTCGATCTGCCTGTTCTGCTCCCCACTCTGTCCCTGGTGAATCCTCTCAACCTCCGCATCTCTGGCCTGTACCCCAATTCTGTATGAATAAATAAATCTTAAAAAAAAAAAAGCCAGCCCCAGAAGAAGGTATATTGTACATGTGCCGTGTATATGAAGTGTTCAGAACAGACAAAGCTGAAGAGACAGAAAGTAGATCAGTAGCTCCTCAGGGGAGGAGGGGGGCAGAAGAATTGGGAGGTCAGCATGTGAGGTCTTTTTTAGGGTGATGAAAATAATCTAACATTGATTACAATGATGGTTGTGAAAATTCCAGAAACTACTGAAATGTAGGCCTTTAATGAGTGAATTGTATGGTCTGTGAATTGTATCTCAGTAAAGTCTTTTTAAAATAAGAGCTGGTAGGGCTCAGAAGACAAAGATGAGAGGCAGTGGCAACTGTAATTCATAGATGATGCAGTGATTGTAAACCCGGCTCAGGAATGGACCCACTAGGATCTGAACTCTAGTCTCCAGCTTTGTGAAACTGAAACAAGCTTATTAACCTCTCAGAACCTTGATCTCTGCCCCTATAAATTCAGAATCATTGTTTTGATAGGAAAACTCATAGTGTTCCCCTAAGAGGATTATTGATGAGATTAAATGAGACAATATGTCCAAACTACTCAGGACAATGCTTGACACTGGTGAGCACTAGACCCAAAGCTGAACAAAAATCTTCAGGAAGCAAGGTCTTTGCACCTGCAAGCATCCTGCATTTTTCAGTTTAACATCTGTCTCCCCTGCTGGACGTCTTGAGGGAAGCACTGTAACCTTATTCCTCCTTGTGGTTCAAGCACTAACACTGGGTTTTGCAGGCACCAAACATGCACATAAACATTGGGTGAGTGAATATAAAGAGTGACAGGTCTTTTATTAACAAAGGAGATGAGCTGCTCTGGCTAACCATAGGGATCAGGCAGTCACAGTGGTCTGGTTCTCACACTATTAGAGAAAGCCACCGAGGAGTGAATCCAGCAACAGAAGTTCATCAATCCCCTGGGACAAGTGGCAGTCACACCCTTCTCACCCCTCACACTCCTCTTCTCTCCCCCACGCGTCACTGGAATAAGGCCAGGAGATAACCTGTATTTTCCCTCCCAGACCCAATAAGCTTGAATTTTTAGCTGTATGACAATTTCTATTTCTTCTATCTCCTGTAATGTAGGCCTTGACCCTGTTTTAATTACAGACGCAGTGTATTAGCTGCTCTGGTGAGGACTAAGTCCATGCACTTTGAAATACCAGAGCCACGGCGTCAGGGGTGAGGGGAATACAAGAAACCAAAGGCAAGGCCAACCCCATCTTGAAAGTAACCAACCCACTGAATGCCAGGAAATGGCTTGTTGTGTGTTAAACTATGTCCCCACCAACCAACATATTGAAGTTCTAATCCCAGTACCTTGGAATATGACTATTTGCATGCGGGGTCTTCAAAGAGGTTAAATGTTAAATGAGGCCACTAGAGTAGGCCCCAATAAAGTAGGACCAATGTTCACAGAAGAGGGGTTCCAGGAGACCATCCAGAGACACAGGAAGAAGGGGGGCTATTGACAAGCCAGGGGAAAGCCACAGAAGAAACTAATCTTCTGACGCTTGAATCTTGGACTGCAAGTCTCCAGAATTGTGAAATAATTAATTTCTGTTGTTTAAGTTACTTGACCTGGATGCCTTGTTATAGCAACCCCCAAAAGTTCATACAAACCTCATTTTAAGAGCCAAAAAACCCAAAACTGACCAAGCAAACAACTTGGTAGAAGAGAGCACTAGGGGAAAGGATAGTCAGTTTCCCACTTCCCCCAGACCTCATGCCACCCCAGCAGAATGTAAGTTCCAGGGTTGACCAAATATACTTTAACTGCAAAGCCTTACCACATTTTCAGGCAGCTTGTGTCCTGGGAGGTATTTCACATTTTCATGGTCATTATTTATGATGTCTGTCAGTTTTCTCCCATTCACTGTTTCTTCAAAGACCCACATCTTGACTGTGGAGGCAAACTTCTTAAGTTGCTTGACATTATTACCAATTATTTTTGCAACAGCTGAACCCCTACAAAAGAAACAGTGGAAAGCAGAAAAATAAACTCACTTGGGTAAAAGAGAAAACACTCTTGCATTATCATTGGGAAGATTCTGGTTTTGATTCTGAGTCAAGCACCAAGCTTATTCAACATGTGACGCCATGTCAATCACAAACCATTGGAAATTGTTTCCACTATAACAACTACATCTTGATCAAGCCCCTGAAGCTGGGGTGAGGCGGTAAAGTACTACCCTGGAAACTGGTAAGCATCAATCTATCTTGGAAGAGAGAATAACAGGCAGAAGAAATATTCACCCACAAAATGGCACGAAGATGACACTTGAAAGTTCTCTTAGCTTCTACCTCAACTAGGCTATTATGTCAAATCCATCAGGTTAAAATGTAAAAGGTAAAACCTTAGAATACCCAATAGGTCCACCATGGAGCCATAATGGAAAGACAAAAGACCACTTTTGATGCCAGAAAAGGAGCAGCCTAATTTTGAGGGTTGGGTTTCCCCCAACCCTCCCAGCCAGTCTCCTTCCGGCACCCTTTTATCTGCATAGCTCTTCACCAACACATTGTCCTCACAGGCCGGTCTCCTATAGACTTTCCTACAGGGAAGAGAAGGAACTCCTTCGGTCCTCCCCGCCACCATGGGCAGAAGTGTTCCTGGTTGCCAGGCCGGATGTACTCACAGATGTACTCAGTACACAACAGGCGACAGCCAGCTGACTCAAGGTGGAGGGGAACAGGTTTGGGAGGGTGGGGCAGGTGGCGGTTAGGCACCTGATCCAGCCAAGCCAGTCAGCTTCTCCTGCAGGAGTCTGAACAGAGAAATAGCTTTTTCCTCACACAATTAACCCCTGATGTGAGGAGCTAGACAGAGAACCTTGAGAATTCAAGTGTTGGGGCATTCATGACTTCTACAATTAGGAGTAAGTGCAGTGATAACAGAAAAGGGGGGAAGGAACGCTAAGGCGATACAGAGGAACTACTGGAGATGTTTATCCTCTCTGATAACTATCAGTTATTCTAACTCAACTCTAGCTCATCCCAGCATATAACACGTTGTGCTTTAACTAAACCAGGAAAATCCAAATAATCTGAATATAGATGGATAAACTGAGCCATGGTTCTCCACTTTGGCTGCAGGTTGGAACTACCTGGCATATTCAAAACTCCTGATTCCCAAGCAGCACTCAGACTAAAGAAATCAGTGGTTTCCTTAGTGGTTTCAGGCATCAGTGGATTTTAAAGCTCCCTAGGGAAAGATGTGCAGCCAGAGTTGAGAACAACGGCTCTGTGCGATGATCTAGAACTTGGATGTCCTCCTTCCTCACAAAGGAATAGCTGGAAATAGTAAAGCTCTACGGCTTTCCCTGTGAGTTTGATTCTTTGCCAGCAGGATAGTTTATTAGCGAAATATGCACTAATCTGGCTCTCCTGCCACTTTGTGGAAAGAAGGTCAGGAATCTCCCTGGCATCACTACCACTTTCATTCCAGTATTGGAAACTGCTGCTCACATACTCACAGGGAGGTAACAGGCCAGGTGTAAAGTGTTCCCCAGTGTTAAATGTACTCATGAGGTCAAAGAGGGCAAGTGTGATTCTGAACAAATTAAGAGGGAAGGAAAGAATCCAAATCTAGTAAATCAAATGCAAAAATGTGCCAGAATCGTGAAACCACAAGACCTTCCGAGAATATATTTACCTCTCCCTTTAAATTAGCCTTTTGAGGATGCAAAGCATTTGCAACCAGAGGCAAATCTGTAGAATTGCTGAAATGAGTTAGTTATGAAAATATAAATGGAAGTTGGAATTGTTCAAAACTCAGCCCGCCTGATCATGTTTCTACAGCCATTGGGATTCAATGGGGCTTAACACGACACATTAAAATAAGGGAAACTTGAGCTATATTTGCTCCTCATGTGAGGACATGAGGACCTCACTCTGGTTTCATTAATAATTTCAGTTAATCATTCACTCACTCATTTATTTGTTACCAAATATTTGTTGGCAATACCTATTGTGTATAATGCATTGGGCTAGATATTGGCGATATAACAGGAAAAAGACAATTCACTCTTTGCTAATTCAGACTCAGAGACAATAATAAATCCATGGTTTTTAAGGAGCTGAGTTCGAAGAAAATAAATTGTTTTGCAGCAAAAGCTAAGGAAGGCACCAATACAGTTCACTTGGATACAACCAGAGGTAACTCCATGTAATTTGGGGCCAAGCAGTTGGAACTATCACTCAGAGACTGGAAAGGAGGTGGAGGGGAATCAAGATTAAGGGAAGAAGCATGGAGTTCAAACTAGCAAGGAGAGGAGTAAAAATAGTCTAGTGGCTGCAAGGTCTAGGCTGTTTTTTTCTGAACAACTTTGTAAGAATCTTTTCTGAGGTCAGAACAACACTCTGTTTTGTTTGTTTATATCTTGTTTAGTATAAGCTCCATGCTAAACTAGTATTTTGTTTGCTATCTACTTTACTTTTTTTCTGTGTCATTTTTAACCTCCAAAAGTATCATCCACCTTAACATAATAAAGGATTCATGACAAGTCTACCACTAACATATGAAGAGGTATAAAAGGGAAAGCTTTCCCCCTCAGGTCAGGAACAAGAACAGAATGCCGCTCTCATTAGTTCTATTTATCACAGTACTGGAAGTCCTAGCAGACCTACTGGACACGAAAAATAAAGAAAAGGTAAGAAGTAACAATATTTGTTTTATAGATGACATGATCTTAAATGTAGAAAGTTCCAAAAACTATACACACACACATACACACACAAACCTTAGACTAATAAACAAGTTCAATAAAGTTGCAGATACAAAGTCAACATAGAAAAATCAGTTGCACTTCTATATACACTAAAAATGAGCTCACCAAAAAGGAAGAACATAAAACCCAAATACAAAATGGACAAACATCCTGAATAGCCATTTCTGCAAAGAAACACAAATGGTGAATCTGTGTATGTGAAAATTCTCAACAACACTAGTTTTTAGGGAAATGCAAACCAAAACCACAATATCACCTCATACCCATTATTATGCCATTAAATAACTAAAAGTAGAATTATCTATGATTTAGCAGTTCCACTTCTGGGTATATATCCAAAAGAACTGAAATTAGAAATCTGGAAAAGTTATCTACATTTCCATGTTTCCTTTTACAGCAACCAAATCATAGCTAACCCAAATGTCCATCAACAGAGAATGGAATCTTATTCAGCAATTTTTACTATATGTCACCACAAATGATCCAGGAGGACATTACGAAAAATTAACCGCATACAGGACAAACTGCACAATTCCATGTACATGAAGTATCTCAAATAGTCAAACTCACAGAAACAAAGAATAAAATGGTGGTTGCCAGGGGCTGGGGAAAGGGAGAATTGGGGAGTTGATATACAATGGATAATGTTTTAGACACTCAGGATGGACAAATTCTAGAGACCCCTGTGCAACACAGTGCTAATAGTTAATAATTCTTCCCTATACACTTAAAAACTGGTAATCACATAAGTCGTGCAGACACTGTGTAGGACATAAGCCCTGTGGGGCTTGGTGACCAGTAAATGGAGAGGTGTCACTGTACCACAGTGACCAGAAGTGGCTAAGCAGGTGACACAGAGACAGTTGACAGACACCATGTTGGCCAGGGAGAGCTGGGGAGTGTCACTAGAGCTCATCTGTAAGACTTGAGTGAGCCTTGTCTCTGTCTGTGCATGTGTGTGTGGGGGTGGGGGTGGGGAGGGAGGCTTCCAGGCAAAGACTGGGGTCCCTGGAGCAGGTGTAGGAACAAGAGCAGAGGGGAGTATCTTCTGCTTTTAGAGAGGCAACACTTTAGAAGGGAGAGGGGAACTGAAAAATGAGGCAGGAACAGAAGGTGGAGGGGAGAGGTCAAGGAGAGAGAGAATCCATTCTGGAAGAGGGGGGTGGAGGGGCAGGCGAGCAGAGGATGTGGGGAGGGAGCACAAGAGGAGTGTGTGGGAGGGAGGCTTAGGAGGGAGGCAAGAATTGAGGGAAGGGTGAGAGGGGCAGGGATGGCAGAAAGACCCTGTTTTGGTACCAGGCACTGTTTGTTTTGTTTGTTTGTTTTTTTTAGTGTGTTTCTATTGAAATGTAATGGACATATAACATTGTGGAAGTTTAAAATATACAATGTATTGATTTGCTACATTTACATACTGCAGTGTGATTTTTCTTTACCATTAACACTATTTTAAATAACCCACATTATCCCTTTTATCCCTTTTAAGCCTCAGCAACCTAAGGCAGGTACTATTAGGAGCCCCAGTTTAACATGAAGAAACTGAAGCTCAGCACCCACACAGGTGGTTAGTGGGAGAACAGAGACTCACAGCTACTCCTCTCTCCCTGGGTCCCAGCTGCACAGACACCCACTTTTTGCTTGGCAAGACCCTACCCCCTTCACTCTCTGTCCCCGGCCGTCTCTCCCCTTCCTTTTTAAAAAGGTCATATATATATAATATTTTATAACAGTTTATTTTTATATCATTTTGTACATTTTTCCCCTTCTCAATTGTAATCCCTGCAGGTTTCCCATCACCAAGTCACCCATGTGTCATCACCATAATCCCGTGCATTTCCCCCCCACCCCCGTTTTGATCCCATTCCCCACTCCACCCCCACAAAATGTCTCTGGTATATGGTTGTTCATTATTTTTATTATTTTCTCACCTGGTCCATTATATGAGTGAAACCATCCGGTATTTTTCTTTCTTTTTCTGGCTTATCTCACTAAGCACGATCTTTTCCAGCTCCATCCAAGTTGCTGCAAAAGACATGTGTTTCTCTTTTTTGGTTGCTGAGTAAAGGTCATATATATTTTTTTAAAGAGTTATTTATTGAGTACACTGCTGAGGGGAGCAGCGGGAAGGTCAGGAGAGGTCTGCTTCGCCATGTGGGTCACCTCCGGGGCAGGGATTGAACTCGCACGGAAGCAGCTAAGGCTCGCTTGCAGTGCTGAGCCCTAACCCATTGTGCCACC